TGTATGAGTCGTACGATTTTTGAATCAAGCACGGGCAACGTCGGGCCATGCTGCTAGTATTTATTATTTTAAATGTTAATATGGATACCCATATTGGAGTAGACGTGTCGTTTATTTTAAACGATATTTTATTTTATCTATTTACCTAAATATTCTAGAAATGTTTTTAAAGAAAAATGCGCTCTCCGGCAAGATTCGAACTTGCGTTTCTCCTTTTGCAGGATTAAAATATAGAACATTTCTTGATCATGAAAATCTTCATGACGAGTGGAATCATATTTCTTTAATAAGATTTCTCGAGTATTCATGTCGATAGATGAAAAAAAAATACCATTTAAAATAAATTGTGTGACTATTCAAATATGGGTATCCACTAAAATAACGTCTATACCAACACACACACACACACACACACACACACACACATATATATATATATATGTATGTAAGCAAATATGTGGATATAGATCCGACAGTATGAAGAACAATATACTGAAAAAAAAAAAAAATCCTAATATGCGATTATGCTGTTTTAATGTTTAATGTCAAAGTCGGACGTTTCGGTCTAATAGACCATCCTCAGGACATATTCATAAAACATAATTAACATAGACCATATACAATTCAACATGAAAAAGACGATGGACATAAAAGCAATACCAATCCAAACAGATAACTGAAAGCTTGTATAAGATCAGCGTTCCGTTTAAATATGATCACGTCGTCGTCACGTGGGCGATGTCCTGATGGCACGTTAGCACACACGATAGCACAAAACTTTACGTTTGTTTTAAAGGAGGTGAAGAAATCTGGAATATAAAGAAGAAAACTAAAAAAAAACAAAAAAAAAACTACATGCATCGTTTATTTTGTTGTGTAAGCAATTAGTAGTTTTAATTTGGAATCACCTAATTTACCAAATTGTATAAAAGACTTCAATGATTTTTATCCATAAACTTCATGTATTGTTTATTTCTTTTTTTCTTTATATGTAGATTCGTATCAGGAAAAAAATTCCTTTCATGAAAATACATTTTTTTATAGATACAAATATTTAAGTAAATGCTCTGTTTATAATAAAGAGTATTAAACTACATTTACCGGCCTGAATGTCCGAGAAATTTTCACAGAAAATATTCGTCCTCCGAAAGGATTCGAACCTGTATCCAATACAGAACCGTCATTTAGCTAGACGTGCCTTTAACCGATTTGGAGAGATTCATAGAAGATTGAAGTTAAAATACAGTAAATTCGCACCTCTGTGACCAAATTTTTTTAAAGACTTTTCTAGAGCGTGACACGAAACAGAAAGCTCATCGATTTTTTTTTTAAATAAAACATTGAAGGATATAAATAAAATTAATGAATCGTGATACATTATACTACTGTTATGGTCCGGTTCCTTGTACCACGGTGATAGTCCAAGGTAGAACCAATAAAGAAGAACTCGAACACAGGTATGGAATAACACAGATATATTACAAACAGGAATATATAGAGAGAAGTAGAAAGTGTTAGTACGAACAATCAGGTTTAGTAGAGAGAACAATGTAGTCTCGACCAGTATTACTATTCCAATGTCTTGCAGTAATTGTCTGAACGCGACTCTGTTTCAGACTGCCTCTGACTCGACTCTTGACTCGACTTGAACTACTGACTCGATATTCAGTCAACTGGGACATCATGTGACACAAGGTCGGTTATTTATTGTCGGTTCTCCGAGCCCGTGGGCTCGGCCCAAAAATATGCCCATTGAACCCGTATAAACGGGCTCAGGGACGGTTTACCTCCCCGAACGAGAATCCGCCCCTCGGCGTAGCCTCATTCGGGTTCCTCCCCGCCCGAAGGCAGAGAGTTCAACCGAACAGTCGGTTCAGAAGTGAACGACTGACTCGACTTAAACTAATCTTGAGACGCAGTATTTATTAAGTATGGAATAGTCCATTATTATGGGTAAGATCCCATAACAACTACTTACCAACTTTATCACAAATACAAAACAAAATAATAACAAGCCAAAACTTGAAGCAGTAATTTACTCTATAGCCTGTAATGACTGCCACCAGGAATACATTGGAGAGAGCTTGAGGAATTTAAAAAATAGAATAAAATATTATAAGAACACAAAAAAGAGCTTTTACAAAATAACATACTCACTGCATTAATTGCTCGGTGTTTGAAGATAATTTCGATTTTAAAAATGCTTTAATCAACAGAGAAAGCAAAATTCTAAGCTGATATGTATAGAAAGTGCCCTGATTGGTAAATTATGCACGGCAAATTTGCGTTCAAGGCAAAAATAACATTTCACTTTTCATGGCATATATTCTGTTGTCACAATGTGTGATATTTAAAAACAGCAATAAAACAAAAACAAAGCCGTGTGAATATATATACATTTTATATATATATATATATATATATATATATATATATATATATATATATATATATAATTCGCGCTTCTAAGCTGAAAGGAGATAATTAAGAAAATGCACCA